GATCATTTTTTTTTTGCAACAAGCCCTTTTTTTTTAAAGCCTACATCTTCCTTTCTTTTAAGGCCTACATCTACCTTCTTAACAAAAGTCAAAGCTAAAACATCTACTCTCCAAATTGAGTCATCAGATTGTTGATGTTTAATGTGACCAAACCATCTAAGGCGACTCTCCCTAATCTTGTGTGCCACTGAAGCTACTCCAACCCTTTCACGGATATATTTGTTTTGCATATTGTCTCTAAGTGCAAAGCCACTCATCCACCTTAGCACTCTCCATAATCTTGTGTGTCACTGGAGCTACTCCAACCCTTTCACAAATATATTTGTTTTGCATATTGACTCTAAGTGTAAAGCCACTCATCCAACTGAGTATTCTCATCTCAGCAACACTTAACTTTATGCTTCTCTTTTACAGGCCAACATTCTATGCCTTGCAGTTCTCACATCCATCTTATAAAATTTTGCTTTAAGTTTAAGTGATACATTTCTATCACAATAGACCCAATTCATTCCTCCACTTCAGCCATCCAACTTGAATTCTACTAATAACATCCTCATTTATATCACCATCCCTTTAAATAATTGCCCTGAGATACCTAAGACTTTCACTCCTAATAACTTGATCACCCACTGTTACAACGCTGTCACTAGATCTATTACTAAAATTACATTTCATGTATTCAGTTTTAGATCTCAAACGAAAGCCTCTACTCAAAAAATGATCTAAATAATTCAAGCTTTTCTTAAACTCTCTCTATCTCATCCATAAGAAGGATATCATCAACAAAAAACATACACTAAGGAACATCCTCCTATAAATGTCTAGTAAGAACATTCATAACTAAAAAGAAAAGATTTGGGCTTAAAGTTGATCCTCGATGTAATCCAATTGAAATAGAAAAATACTTAGTCAATTCTCATCGTGATCGAATGTATGTAACAGCTCTAATATACATGACTTAAATGACTTGAATATAAGCAATGTCAACACCTTTCTTTTTTAAATTCTCCAAAATAATTCTCTTGGAATTATATCATAAGCTTTTTCTAAATAAACAAAAATAATAAGTAGATCTTCTTTACTCTCTATATTTCTCCATCAAGTCTCTTAATAAATTTATTTCTATAGTACATTTGTCCGGCATGAATCCAAACTAATTTCATCGTAACCTA